GCTCCGCCCCCTGGTGGGCTGAGCTGGCCACACACACACACACACACACACACACACAAAAATAAATAAATAAAATTTTAGAAAAAAAAAAAAAATAAGAATCAAAATAGATAATATGGACAGGCACCTACCGCCGTGGCCACACATGATCTCAGGCACTAAGATTCAAGTAGTGGTTACTGTAATAATATTAACATTGTAACTAGCACTTGAGGAAATTATTTCCTGAATTCTATCCTTTTATAAGTTGAAGAAAAATCTCTATGATGCTAACAAATTTCAAATGAAAGTAGAATAGAAATACTTGCAGAAATGGCAGGACATAGTTGTGACAGTCAAGAATTTGTTAACTTTTGAATGAGTACCTCCAGGCTCCACAAAGGTGACCACAGCTCTTCGGGACTGTTTGTCGTAGTCCACGCTCTCCACCTCGCCACCTCCATTGCGGGACTTGCTAAAACTCAGTTCTAGCTTGTCTCGCATCTGATCTTCGGGCAGACCGTCAGGAATTTCCGTAACAATTATCTTCACTTTGGAAACTTCTACATGAACCTAGGAAATCGTCTCATATTTAGAAATATGGATCAGGACTGTGTCCATGCTCAGCAAAATTCCCCAAAGCTTTCTAATGACCCTGTTACCTGGAATCTGACTTTGGTGTTGAGTGGAACTGGCCAGGCTATCAGCTCCACACTCTCGCCCTCTATCTGCACTTGATGCTTTCCCATTGATATCACATTTTGTGCAACTGAAAAATAATTTGGGAAGTATTAGTTTCCAGCATTTTGAGTGATGTGCATGCTTGGAAGGAAAAAATTACCTTGAGTGACCAGAATTTTGTTTAATTTTAAAGGACCTAATTTTAACATTTTCCCTTGGGATTCCCAGATACTAATGGTCCTACCAGCCAAGAAGGATTTACTAATGTTATGATACATCAGGAAAAAAGACTCTGCAGAAATATTCATCAACTTCTAGGCTCATCTTAGGAAATGAGTCCCTCTTCTTATCTCTCCAGTGATAAGACGAATAATCCCTCAGAAATTCGTATGATACTCCAGTCCAACCACACATCCTTCCTTCCCACTGTTGATAGCATTACCAGAGAATTCCTAATGATTCAAGCTCAGCCAGAAGTTCTTCCATGATGAATAAGCTAGGAAACTTTGGTGGGCCAGTGTCATATTGACAATTATTTTTAATTTTATTTTATTTTTTATTTATTTATTTATTTTTTTATTTATTACATTTATTTATTGTGTGTGTGTGTGGCCAGCTCAGCCCACCAGGGGGCGGGGCTGGCTGGCATGTGGTGCTGGGGGATCGAACCGCGGTCCCTGTGCTTTGCCAAGCTTGTTTCAAGTAGGTGCTTTAGACCACTGAGCCATCTCTCCAGCCCATTTTTAATTTTATTTAATTTTGCCATTTGCTATGCATTCAGACATTACTAGCACTTTAAAAAATACATATTCATTTTCATCTTTGCCTTCCCAAAAATAACATTCTAAAGACCCTCCAGGCTTACATGCTAAAAAGGGAGGGATTTCTCGTTTTATTTGCCATACTTAATGAAGTATTCTAATTTCTGTAAAATGCTCTTTAGATGATTTAAAAAGTTGAGAGCTGGGCTATGCCACTAACAAAGCTGTCAAATATAAACTGTCCACACAAATAAGAGATGCTCAGTAACATAATTATGCCAAAAGGCACTAAAAATTCAGAGAGCAAATATATGTCAATTTTAAATACATATGGCTGTTTCTTTTGAATTGTGTACATTGTGGTTTTAGAAGTGTTTAGTTGTTGCTACTTGGAGCTGCTGTTTACTCTCTGTTTTGTAAACCTCACATGTGTTTATGACACCCAGGTGGAGCACCCCAGCTAGAGGACAAGAGAAACAGCTAGAAGGCAGGGCGTGGCCCTGTGAGTTCAGACTCACTGTACCACAATATGACTCTACAACTTGGATTCTTTTTTTCTTTTCACTAATAGCAACAGACAGACATCAGTGAAGTAATGCTGAGACAGTCCTCCTTCCTGCTCGCTCTTCCCAAGCCCCCAACATCTGAGATCCAACGCAGTAGAGAGGGGCCACTTGCATCTCAACCTCTATGATTCCGACAGTCAAACACCAACTCCCACTTAACTGTGATTAGATGTAAAACTGTCCTCCGAGATCAGGGTCTCAGAGCCATGCCAAGGACAGAAGCAGAGCTGTAGCTGTCTCAGAGGACAATTCTAATGCCAGGTTTTGCAGGCCACGCTGTGTGAAGACCTGGCTCCTGAGTCCTCCTTTACATCTGCCAGCTACAGGGTGATGACCCTCACTGCCAGTGTGGCTCCAAACCTCCTTCTCCCTTTCAACGAGTAGTGGTGGCCCCAGGGTAAATGAAGGTACACTGGGGACAAATGCCTCATCTTCACATGCTGACTTTCTGAAATGTCTTTCTTTTTAACAGTTATTTTCAATCTACCAGGATGCATCAGGTTTCAGGAGACTGGATTCTCAGATTCTTAGCCCTGGAATGGGTCTGCAGACCACCGGTCCTACCCTAAGACTCCTTCAATACTGGAATGAAGGCTGGGCTGGTCCCTACTCAGAGGCATGTTGGTCCAGACCAAAGTACAGGCACTCAGGGCTCACTCTCAGCTCTGTGATTTCATAACTGTTGGGACCTTGAGCAAGTTACTGCTTTCTCACCCTTCTAGGTCCTTCCCTGGAGCATTTCGAACATGTCGTGGCAACAGCAGCTAACATTTGTAAAGTGTCTGCTACGTGCCAGACACTGTGCTAAGGGTTCTATTAGCATTTCTCATGTAATGCTCAAAGTACAGCATGAAGTAAGGACTACCCACAGAGCCTGTTGAGAAGCTGAGGCACATGAAGAACTCACACCAAATCAGGCCTCAAAGAAGAGAAAAAGCTGGCACTCAAAGCCAGATCATCCTCTTGAAAGCACCCCAACCCCAAACAGGGGTTCACACCACGGCAGACTTTGTGAACAATGGAACCCAGCCCAAATCTCTGCACCCACGCTCTGCCCACTCTCTCATTACCTAAGTGTCCTTACGTCAATCACTTCCACGACCACAGAATCCATTTTTGTAGCTATAAAATACAAGTAACATCTATCCTATCCTATCCTATCCTATCCTATCCTATCCTATCCTATCTTATCCTATCCTAACCTATCCTACTGTGTTTATAAAGTTAAGTGATGGGGCTGGCGAGATGGCTCAGTGGTCTAAAGCACCTTAGAACAAGCTTAGCAAAGCACAGGGAATGTGGTTCAATCCCCCAGCACCACATGCCAGCCAGCCCCCCCCCTGGTGGGCTGAGCTGGCCACACACACACACACACACACACAAATAAAAAATAAATAAATTTAAAAAAAATAAAAATAAAAATAAATAAAGTTAAGTGAGTATAAAATCAGACAGTAACTGTGAGAACACTTAGAGAATTATAGAGGTCTACTACTTTACAACATTACCGCGATTCTCATCATTTGGAGGCAGACTGGGGCGTCCAAAGGGGTTGGCTAGACACCATGACAATTATATTTATCTCAGAATCATCACTTGCTGAATGAATGGTAAGCATTACATACTTAACATCTTAAGAGTTCATGTTCTCAGGCCGGGGATATAGTTCAAGGGTGAGAACCTGCCTAGCAAACACGAAGTCGTGAGTTTGATTCCCAGTACCAAAAGAAAGAAAAAAGCAAAGAGTTCATTTTCTTGTGTTGAAAACAGAACTATCAAATCTGCCTCATAGTATCACTATGAGGATGAGAAAAAATAATAGATGTTAAAACCATAAAGCAATAGCCAAATATCTCTAAAAGATCATGGAAAGTTCAACTGGTTTCCAAAAATGCACAGTCATATTTTTAAGAGCAGTCATACCTTCTTCTTTTTCAAAGGTGATAAGTGCTTGTCCTTTCTGTAGCTCATAAAATACGCGTGAGCTCACTTGAAATGAGCAGGAGACATTCAAGAATCGGCTGGCATCGTCAGGAGTCTCTAGTGATGCAAACTGCAGCTGGGTCTCAGGAATAGCCTCCTTAAACTAATTCCAAAAGAAATGTTGGGTTAAAACCAAGCGAAGAAATAACCTGAGTCTTTCCAGTGTCAATGTAATTGGGTCACCTGGTGACTCACTCCTCACTGATTTTTGAGAACCTCATAGAATTCTGACTCCACGTTGTCTCCTGTTCCATCTCTAGTAACTGCTTCTTCCCTGCAAATGCTCAGAAATGTAATCAAAGTGAATCCTTTACTATCATTTCTTGGATGAAATCGTAATCTACAATCCTCTCACTTTTTCTAATCAGGGTTTAAACAGGTCAGTATTGTACAGTGTTTGATTTTAAAGCTTACATTACTCATGAAGCTAAGTAACAGTGCCATAATCTGTCTCATAAGAGAATAATCAGTATGTTTAATTTTCAGTACAATAATCTATGAAACATACACCAGATATATTATGGTTACTTTTGTGGAAGAACCCAGATAACTTCATCTGAAAAGAAAGACTCCTGAATTACAGATACAAGATTTATCAGGTTTAGATTGCACTTTCCACATTGTCTGCCCATCAATGCTTTAGCTACCTTTTTCCACAACCATTAGGTTAACCACTTAGGTTTGTTAAAAAGTAAAGAGATTTGGGGCTGGTGAGATGGCTCAGTGGTCTAAAGCACCTATTTAGAACAAGCTAAGCTAAGCAAAGCACAGGGACCGTGGTTCAATCCCCTAGCACCACATGCCAGCCAGCCCCACCCCCTTGTGGGCTGAGCTGGCCACACACACACACACACACACACACACACACACACAAATAAACAAACAAATAAATGTTTAAAAAAAAAAAGTAAAGAGATTTAACCAACAAGACCCATAACCTATAGGATAAAGTTACCTAGTTATACTTAACTGTTTAAAACCATTGAGATTTTCCTACCATGTTCAATGCCCTGAGTTTGATCACAAAAATAAAAAGAAATCATTGGAATTGACAGGCATAAATGACTACACATAAACATACAAATGAGTTCGTTGTTGACATTTCTTTGTCTCATGGCTTCTGATATCTCTATTTCTTAAGGTCATTTTACTTGCTGAAATAAAAGGTGTTATCACAAAAGGATTAGAAGCACTCACTAAACTGTTAAATCATCTAATCTATAAAATATCTACTTCACATGCAACTTCAGAAGATTTCTGATGGGGCAACCTAATGATGTCTCAAAATAAACACAGTTAAATAGGGCTGAGAAGCCAGGGAGATAGCTCGGTGTTCTGAGTGCCTGCCTGGCAAGTGCAAGGACCCAGGTTCAATTCCTGGTGCCACATGTTGTGCCAGCCCCACACCCTCCCCAGCCGCTGAAACCAAGCATGGTGCTGCACGCCTGTAATCCCAGTGCTGGGAAGGCTGAAACAGGAGGAGCATTATGAGTCCAAGCTTCATAACAAGACCCTGTACCAAATAAATAAATAAATCTTAAAAAAAACAAAAAAAGGACAGAGCTGGGAATGTAGCTCCTTGGGTTCAATCCCTAGCACTGTGGCAGGGGGTGAGCATGGAGATATTCTATAAGTAATTACTTTTAAGAAAAGTTACTGTGCATAAAAATGTGACATATAAAATTATTAGAGTACCTGGAAATTTTTGGCAGCCTCTTCTAACTCAGCTTCAAGCTTTTGGATCTCCTCCTGTAGCTGAATATTTTCCTTTCTAATTTCATCAAGTAGTCCCTAAAAAATATCAAATAGTACCCCAAGAAATTAAACAACCCATAAAGTCCACTTTCTAAATTAAGTTTCTCTGACCTTGAGCAAGGTGGGTTCAGAATAAGTATGCCCATGTTAATAATGTATGTATTGAATATTTTACACCATCATTTATCAATTTTCCTAACACTACAAAGTTTTTCAAGATCCATATATGAAGAAAACCACACTTCACACTGGACCAAAGTCACAGAAATTCTTATATTTAGGGCCAGAATTAAGATTCAGATCTATGTTAGGATTGCTGGCATACATCCATAATCCCAGCACTCAGGAAGCTGAGGCAGAAGGATTGCAAGTGTGAGACCAGCCTGGACTACATATGAGACCCTGTCTCAAAAACACAAAACAAGCAAATAAACAAAAGAGACTCAAATCTTCTAAATCTTACCCCAGTGTTCTATCAACTCGCTTCCCAGCTATTTATGATTATATTATTGCTTTTAAATTGCACTGGAATTATGGATACGTTATTCTGGGGCAGTATTTAAAAATTCACAGTAAGCCAGGCATTGTAGTGCACACCTGCAATCCCAGCACTCAGGATGCTGAGGCAGGAGGATCATTGTGAATTCAAGGCCAACCAGGGCTATAAAGTAAATGCAAGGCCAGCCTGAACTGCATAGTGAAACCCTGTCTCAAAAGAAAAAAAAAAAAAATTAGCAAAAATAACCATCATACTAATGGATATCAGTTAATTTTAATAATACCTAGTAATTTTCTTTTTTACCTCATTTTGTCCATTGTTCATAGATTCTTCATCCAGCTGTTGTTTGTTAAGTACGTCATTTCTGCTGTCCTTATCAGGCTCCATTATTCCCCAGTAATTGAAAAGAAACTTTTATAATAGTCTATGTATACAAATTCAAGAAGAAAAGAAAAAACATTTATTCTTCTATAGAAAAAACATTTCTTCTTTGCTAGCTTTTTTCTACCATCAAATCTTTATATTCACGTGGCTTATATCTAATCTGTATTTCAAATAATTTTCACACCTAAAGACATATAAAAAGTCCAAAAAAGCCTTTGCTTCTCAATTCAGTGGTGAAAAGAAAACAATAGACATTAATATTCCTTTGTAATTCACATCCCAATCCTATTATATTTTTCTTTCTTTTTCTTTTTGCAGAATCGGGGATTGAACTCAGGCCTTGGGCTTGCCAGGGAAGCACTTATTCTATTGAGCCATCTCCCCAGCCCCCCATTGTATTTTTCTTTTGGTACCAGGAATCAAACTCAGGACCTCATGCTTGCCAGGCAGGCACTTGTGCCACTGAGCTACATCCCCAGCCCCTATGCTTCATTTTTCAAAAAATTAATTTTATTGAGAAACAAACAGCAATAAGACAGCTTCAAAACCAATTAGTTACAGCTTCAATAATTAATATATTGCATATTGTTGTCTTCATAGTGGTTATTCATAGTACAAGATAGAGACATGATATCCTGTCCAAGCACTATTAGTATAAATCTTTCTTCTCATTGAATTAAGAGAAAATAACTGTATATCTATCTTAACTATTTTGTACATATAGATACAAAATGGTCCATCATTTGTATCCCTTTTTTTGTTTACTTTTGTCAGAGATGGGTATGCCGTTGACATTTAAATACTGTAGGTGCATGAATTCAGCAAAATAATCCAATATAGTCCAGTAGTCTATAACAGTAGTGGGTTATTGTAGGACTGGCAATGTCAGAAGTTGTTGACTTGAGCCTTTTAAAGCTCAGCATATTAATATGGCTTTACTTTTTATGCCTCGTTGTTATACTTTTCTGCTGGATGGTTAAGACCAAGATAAAGCAAGACTTATATAACAAGAAATGTAACTTTTATATCTGACAAGGTCAGTCAAATCCCCTCAGAATTTACTCAAATCCCCTCAGGATTTACCCTATGCTTCATTTTAAAGACAACTATTTTGATCTTTCAATCTTTACCTAAGGTTTTGGTTTAAAGATTTAATTCTCACTGTTGCACTTACCACGTGTAAATAAAGCCCGTAAGCCCCAAACATAGCCTTCCTCCACTTGGGATCTCACCTGAGTTTTCTTAAATAACTGGGTCACTAATTTGGATGGGGGTGGGGGAAGATTACATTATTTTTAATAACTTCTAACTGAAACTTAGATTATAACAGTAAGCAACTATGGTAGTATTCATAGCATCGGTGACAAAGTCACAAGTAGAAAGCACGGGTATTTTCACAAAAGTCTATAATTGTTGCACATATTTTAAAATCTGGGTTATTGGCCAGCCAGATAGCTCAGCAGACTAAAGCACCTGCTTAGGCAGATGCAGCAGCTGGGGTTCGATTCCTGGCATGCTGTGCTAGCCCTGCCCCCAGGGCGCTGAGACCTCGACTGAGATTGTGCGTGGTGGCGTGCCCATACTCCTAGAGTTTGGGAGACTGAAAACAGGAGGATCACTACTAGTCCAATCTGTATAATGAGACCCTGGAGAGCCTGTACTAAATACAGAAAGAAAGAAAGAAAGAAAGAAAGAAAGAAAGAAAGAAAGAAAAGAGAAGAGAAGAGAAGAGAAGAGAAGAAGAAGAAGAAGAAGAAGAAGAAGAAGAAGAAGAAGAAGAAGAAGAAGAAGAAGAAGAAGAAAAAGAAGAAGAAAAGGAAGGAAGGAAGGAAGGAAGGAAGGAAGGAAGGAAGGAAGGAAGGAAGGGAGAGAAGGAGAAAAATAAAATATGGTCTATTGAACCCAGCTTGCTGCAGCAGTTATTAAACTCACTGCCGGGTCTCATGATACATTGTAACCTACTAGTACATATTACTGCAGCAAAAATTTGCTTAAATACTTTGTTAACCACATTTCAACATAATTGGTTCCCTTGGTAAGTCTATGTATTTTATAATACACTTTTTAAAGTTTGTACTATTTGTTTGTTTTGAGAAGGGCCCATAAGCTTGATCAATGTGGCAAACAAGGAAAACAATGACACACACAAAAAATGAAGAAGTCCTGCCTGCACATTAATTTACTAAGATGGAAAATTCCCAGATCAAAACTGGGACAAGGGATAACATGACTTCAAGTTTTTCAATGTACATTAATAACCAGTTTGCAATATAATTTTCCAGGATTTTTGAGAGGTTAGATTCTCAGAATTCTTACATGAGAAACAGAGGACATCTATTTCTGATAAAAATAAATTAAAAGATTAGGAAGAAATTAGTCATGCCTTTGTTTAGTACATGTGAATTCAGGGTTGTCAGAAAAACAAGCGGTCATGTAACACCCAGATCTTGTTGTGTAATGTCCTTCAACAAAAGGAACCAAGTCCCCTTGGAGCAGTGGCTGATTCTAAGGCTGGGACAGGAAGTACACTGGACAAGCCTAGAATGTCTCTTGGTGCCACACAATTAAAAAGTGCTAGAAAAGAAACCAAAGCGCACCACAACTCTGATGGGAAGATGTAAAATGGACACAGTAACCAAATAAAAGGGCTCCCAGCAGCCAAACATACCCAGAGAACTGATCAGAGAAAGCAACTAGAAATACGGAAAAAAGGACAGCAAGAATAAATGCTGTGTGTTGGAATTGGATACATCAGTATAAATTTGATAGATAAAATAGCTGATAAAGTGAGATAGGTAGAAACATGTTGAAAAATGGGTACATGAATAGATGGGGAGAGAAATAGAAACATGGATATAACATGTATCCTAGGCCTGTCTGCTTGGAGAAGAGGGGTAGGCGAGCGGATACAACAGCAGCAAGCACACCAACCAGCGAGCTCCAGGTTTCCACTAACATTCCCCACTCGGAGGAACCAAGACTTTGGATAGAAGGCTGTTCCCAGGACTGGAACAGAAAACTATGCGCATGGTATACACTGTGAGGCCAAAAGGTAAGTAAATGCTTCAAACATGATGAGGACATGTTCAAAGGACACAGAACCCAGCTTTAGTTGGTTTTTATTCACCAAATCTGGAAATAAACTAATGCTTAAAATAAATACAATGCTTCACCCAACAGTGCTCTGCCCAACAACAGAATACTCACTCTTTTCAGCAGCACATGAAATTCTTTCCAAAACAGATCACAAACTAGCCAATAAAGCAAGCAGAGGTGAATATAAAAGAATTGAAATTATAACATGCATTGTATCAGATCTTATTGCCAATGAAAACTAGAAATCAATGACAAAAGAAAACGAATTATGCAAATTCATGAAAACCAAAGAAACATTCTTCTGTAACAATGGGTTACAGAAGAAATCAAGGAAGAAATGACACAGTTTGTAGAATAAAAAAATAATGCCCGATCCAGGCATGGTGGCACTCGCCTGTAATCCCAGCACTGGGGAGGCTGAAAATATGAGGATCACAATGAGTTCCAGCTATGTAGTGAGACCCTGCACAAAATGCAAACAAAAATAATAATAATATCAATAACAATAATGCCAGCACAACACACTAGAACTTATGCAACATAATGAAAGCAGCCTAAAGAGACAGTTTATTGAATGCATACAGCAGAAAAACAGAGCAAGCTCAAATACATAACCTAATAATGCTCCATAAGGTCCTATAAAAATACAGGGGCTGGGGAGATAGCTCAGGAGAATAAGCGCTTCCCTGGCAAGCTCAAGAGCCTGAGTTCAATCCCTGGTTCCGCAAAAAAATAAAACCAAATACAAAACAAAAGTTAATACAATGAAGGAAATTACAAAGATCAGGGGCAGAAATCAATGAAATTTAGACCAAAAAGAAAAAGAATTAATAAATCCAAGATTTGTTTTAGCCCTCCTCTTGCTGGGATGACAGGCATGCACCACCACACCCAGGTTATTTCCTTTTTACTAGTGAGATTGCCTAAGGGTTTATCTGGTTTATTCTACCAAAACTGAACCAAAAAGATTTAAAAACCCTGAATAGTCCAATAACAGGCACTGAAATTGAAACAGTAATTTTAAAAAACCTACTAACTAAGGAAACTCCCAGTCTAGATGGGTTTACTGCTGGATTCTACAAAAACTTTAGGGAAGTTCTAACATCAATACTCTTCAACCTTTGCTGTCTCATGAAACTGAAAAGGAAAGAGTACTCCCAGTCATTCCTAGCTACCATTGCCCTGATTCCAAAACCGGACAAGAATCCAATCAAATAGAACTACAGATCTCTCGATCTCGCTCTCACTCTCCCTGTTGCACTCTCCTTCTTGCACTCTCACTCTCTCTCCTCTCTCCTTCTCTCTCCTTCTCTTTCTGTTCTCTCCCTCTCTCCTGCCCCTCTCCCCCTCTCTCCCTCTCTCCCTGTCTCTCTTATGGAACTGCACTGAGGGCCTTGGGCTTGCCAAACAGGTACTGTCCCATTGACCTATATCCCCAGCCCAGATCAATCTCTTTTATGAACATAAATGCAAAAATCCTCAGTAAATCCTGGCAAATAAAACACAACAAATCAAAAAGATCACCATTTTTGTTCAACACAGTACATGACACATTAGTAAGTATAATTAGGCAAGAAAAGAGTTACATACAGAAAGGAAAAAGTCAAATTATCATTATTTGCAAATAACATGATTTTCTATATAGAAAATCCAAAAGACTTAGAATAAGCCCTTGCCTGGCAAGCACAGGGTGCTGAGTTCAATCCCTGATCCCACAAAAAAAAAAAAAAAAAGAATTAATAACCAAATTCAAGAATGTAGCAGGATACAAAATCAACACACAAAAATCAACACTGCTCCTGTTCACTAATAATGATCCCACTGAGAAAGAAATTAGGGAAAAAAATACAATTACAATAGCACCAAGAAAAATTACATACTTGGGAATTAACCTAGCTAGGGAAGTGAAAGAG